TCATCTGAGGGGGCAGAGGGGCAGAATCCTCCCCTCCCCTGCTGCCCCTCTGTGGGATCAGCCCAGGCTGTGGGTTCTGGACATCGGCGTCCCAGGGAAACTGTCCCAGGAGAATTTACTCCCGGAGCACCTCAGCACATTTCCGTGTTCCTCCATGCCCTCCACACGTATTCAGTGTTCCTCTGAGATCCCTGAAATCCTGGAGCTGGCAGGACAAGCTGCTGCAGCTGCAGCTGCACAAGGCACATCCCACAGCAATTCCAGCGGCTCGGAGCTGGCTGGTGGAGCTGGAGCTGTGGCAGTTTGCCCAGTGGCTGTTGTTTACAACCCTTTGCCAGGATTTTGGCACGGGAACAGCGTCCCACAGTCCTTGAGGAGCTGGAAAATGCCCTTAAGAGGTCAGTCAGGGGATGGCAGCAGTTGGAGCTTGGATTTGACCAGGCTGGACTGAGGAATGTGGGGACTCCTGGGTTCCTGGGTTGGAATGAGATGATCCTTAAGGTCCCTTCCAACCCAAACCATTCTGGAATTCTATGATTCTGCCTTCTGCTCCCAGATCTATCCTGCTCTCCAAAGAGCCTCATGCAGCACAGAGCAGCACCCATGGAGTGTGATGTTTTCCCTCCTCCTGCCCAGAGTGGCTCCTGTTGGGATGAGAGCTGGTGTTCGTGGGGGCATCTTGGCATCAAAGCATTTCATGGGAAAGTCGGGAATGACACATCCCACTTGGAATTCAGACTTTCTAAGCAGGCAGGACTTCAAAGCCATGGCAGCAGCACTGTGGGGTTGGCAAAGCAGGGAGCTCCAGGGTTTAGTTGGCAGAGGTGGCTGATCCAGGCTGGGAATCCAGCGGGGGAAAGAGCAAAGGCATTTGTTTAACAATAGGGAGGAACAATAGCCATTACTTTTGTGGAAACTCAATCCATTAGAGGCCTGCTTTCCAGGGAATGCTCAGTTCTGAGGCATCTCCTGAGGAATATGGTGTCTGTGTAAATTACTTTGTTCTGGGAGTATCCTGGGGGACAGTGGGTTTGGAGGTTGGCACGGGAATGATGCCAGGGCACAGCCAGAACATAGAGATCCTCAGAGAGGATCCCATCAAACCTCATCCATGGCCATTCCCAAGGATGGTCAGGCACCTTAAATGCTGGAATCAGGTTTGGGGTCCACAGGCACAGGACAAACACTGAGGGGCTGGAGCATGTCCAGGGAAGGGAAGGGAGCTGGGAAGGGGCTGGAGCAGCAGGAGGGGCTGAGGGAGCTGGGGGGGCTCAGCCTGGAGAAAAGGAGGCTCAGGGGGGACCTTCTGGCTCTGCAACCCCCTGACAGGAGGGGGGAGCCAGGGGGGGTCGGGCTCTGCTCCCAGGGAACAAGGGACAGGAGGAGAGGGAAGGGCCTCAGGCTGTGACAGGGGAGGCTCAGGTGGGATATTGGGAAAATTTCTTCATGAAAATGGTTGGAAAACATTGGAAGAGGCTGCCCAGGGCAGGGGTGGAGTCCCCATCCCTGGAGGGACTTAACAGCCCTGTGGATGTGGCACTTGGGGACATGGTCAGTGGTGGCCTTGGCAGTGCTGGGGTAGCAGTTGGACTTGGTGATCTTGGAGGGCTTTTCCAACCTCAACAATTCCATGATTCCACGATTCTGTGCCACAGAGCAGAACAAAATGCCCTCCCCACATCTCTGGTTTCAGCTTCCCCCCATCCAAGGCAGAGGCGTTTGAGCTGTTTAAGCAGGAGGCTGGACGTGAGATCAGCAGGATCTTCAAGGAGAACAAGAGCATCCTCCTCGCCAGGAAGAGGAGCAGCAATTGCCTGGCCCGGAGGATCAACGACATCAAGCGGGAGATGGAGGGAGTCAGGGAGACTCTGGAGGGGAAGAGGCGGAAGCGGTGGCAGGAGGGTGAGTCCCTGTGGCCAACAAGGATGTGGCAGAGGAATGGAGCTCTTGGCTTCAAGGAATTTTGGGTGGTGAGACCACTAACCCACCACTGCTGGTTGCCAGGGCAGTGGGACAGGCCGGGCTGTCACCTGAGTCCTCCAGCTGAGTCCTCCACACTTCACCTCCCTGAGCTGAGCTGCTCAGGCTTTACACCTGAGGGCAGGGATAGATGGGATATTGGGAAGGAATTCCTGGCTGTTAGGGAGGGGAGGCCCTGGCACAGGTTGCCCAGAGAAGCTGTGGCTGCCCCTGGATCCCTGGAAGTGACCAAGGCCAGGCTGGACAGGGCTTGGAGCAACCTGGGCTAGTGGAAGGTGTCCCTGCCCATGGTGGGGGGTGGCACTGGGTGATCCTTAAGATCCCTTCCATTCCAAACCATTCCATGAGTCTCAGTAGCACTGGTTTAACTGTCCCAAAGCACTGACCAGGATTTAGCCTTTAAATCCTTTCCCACGGCTTCCCTGGGATTTTTTCCATGGGATCCAAGTGAAGCCCTCCTCCAGGCTGTCCCCCCTGCAGAGCCCTGTCCCTCCCCTCCCTTCCTCCCTCACCAGGGACATTCCTCTCCCTTTCCCCCCTCCAGGAGAATACACTGACGAGGAGGGCCAGGTCATCATCGATGAGAAGGAGTTTTCCCTCATCCTGAAGCTGAAGGAGCTGAAGGAAGAGCACAGGGCTGGTTATGCTGAGCTGCAGGACCTCAAGGCAGAGATCCAGCACTGCCAACAGCTGGTGGATAAGTGCCGGAAAAGGCTCATCTCAGGTGTGGATCCACAGGGCCCAGCAGCCTCTGGATAAATCCAGGCTGGAGCATTCACAAGCATCACGGAATCCCAGGATGGTTTGGGTTGGAAGGGACCTTAAGGATCATCCCATTCCACCCCCTGCCATGGGCAGGGACACCTCCCACTAGCCCAGGTTGCTCCAACCTGGCCTTGGACACTTCCAGAGGTGGGCAGCCACAGGTTCTCTGGGAAAGCTATTCCAGTCCCTCCCCACCCTCCCAGCCAGGAATTCCTTCTCAATATCCCATCTAATCCTGCCCTCTGGCAGTGGGAAGCCATTCCCCCTTGTCCTGGCACTCCAGGCAGTTCCCATCCTCTGTTGTCCTTTTCCCTGTTCCCTTCCAGACCAGATTTTTTTGCTTATTAAGTGCCTTTTCTTTTTGAGCTGACACTGAATTCCTGCAGATTCTCTCTCCCAAATAAGGACACTCTGCTCCTTGGTCACACCAGTAGGTGCAACACTGGGAAAAACCTTTCCACAAGGAATTTAACAACAGTGCTCCCACTGCTGCTCCTGGACCTCATCCTGGGTTTTGTGTAACCGAGGTGGTGGTTGAGGAATTGCCCTGGGACAGGGCTGTGGCTCCGGACTCCAGGTGAACCCTCTTCCCCCTGGGAGTTCCAGGTCCCAGAGTTGCAGCCTTGGCAGGAAGCAGAGCTTGGTCACTCCTCTGCCTGGGGTGATCCCTGCAAATTCCTGCTGTGTTCCAGGTTGGAACCTGTGCACTCAAACTACCCCTGCTGTATCCCTGCATTTGTCCCCTCCGTGTACGAGTGCCAGAGTCCCAAACATTTGGATGTTGTGCACATGGCAACACTTGATTTCCACAAACATGCCAGGGCACAGCTTGGATCCGTCAGAGCAGATTCCGTGGAGGAAATGCCAGGGATTGTTCCAGGGATAGACAGGGCCCAATCCTAACTTAGCCACTGGTTCCCGTTGGATCCGGGTTTGGCACTTTTGGGTGTTCCAGATGTTTGTTGGAATATCTAAGACTCTCCCTGTCAGGAGTGCAGTGCCTGGGAAATGCCCAGGATTAATAAGGACAGAATTCCCACCTGCTGTCTGTTGTCACGGGCTATTATGGGATGGCAGGCGGCTCTGCTCGAGCGTGTGGGATTGAAACCCGAGCCCCAGACGTGCTGACCATTCCAAAGGAATGATCCCGGTCCGTGGGCTGCAGGAACGGTGCCATCTCGTGGCCAGGGAATGTCCCCAGGAGCAGCAACCACCTCCAGCACAGCCACCAGCCCCCTTAAATCAACTTTTCCAAGAGTTTAAACTCAAGATCTTGGAATTCTGAGCTCCCCTCTGAGGGTTTAAGAGCACTGAGATCCCGCCCGATCCATAGGCCGGGAGAACCACCCCACTGTTGTCCCTTGGGTCATTCCAGGCTGTTAATGCCCCCTCTTTGCTTTGCAGAGTTTGAGATCTGGTACAACGAGTCCTTCCGTATCCCTGAGGATGTGCTGGAAGCTCTGAGGCCCGGTGGGAGCATCAGGCCTGGAATGATTCCCATGAACAGGGTCATGTGCCTGGTGAGTTGTCTCTGCTTATCCTCCTTGGTGGGGATGAGGGAATGAGGGAGGAGGAGGAGGAAGAGGAAGAGGAGGACCTGGTGCTCTGTGAGCAGAAAGGGACTGTCTGGAGCCACATCCATTTAGAGCCTAAAACAGGACAGTGACTGAGGGACCTGGGAATGTGTGGAATATCAGACACTGGGCAAAGTGCCTGGAGGTGGAGGGTGCTTGGGAGCCTGGTTTCCAGCCTGGTTTCCAGCCTGGTTTCCAGCCTGGTTTCCAGCCTGAGGGATCCAAAGTTTGCAGCCAAACTATTGTGTTTCCTTTTGTGGCAACTGAGACTTGGCGAGTTCTCTGCCAGGAACCACCACTTTGGGTGCCGGGGGCTTTCCTGCTCCTGAAAAGGCACATTCCTGGAAAATTCTCATTTCCCAGAATTCCTGCATCTCCCCAGCATGGGCAGCAGGGGAAGGGGGGATTCTGCCCCTCTGCCCC